ATGATATTTTATCAAAATTATCTTTTATCAATTATTCATAACTAACAAAGTAATCAATATTGAGCATTTAATTATATTTCGTATGCAATTAATTGCGTACCCTAATTTAYGTTTGTTGCAAAATATATTATAAATATATGGAAATACGTGTAAGATGAAGTGTAGGTGTAATCTAATTTGGTATATTATCATTTTAATATTTAATTTATTCGCATTATATTTCATTATACAATGATAATTTGTTACAGCATCACGGGTTAAAATTTAATAAAATAATTTTACCACTAATCGTATTTAAGTTATTTGACGAAACTTAGATGAAAGAAAACGGCAAAATTGATTAATTCGGTATCATTTAAGCCTACACATTTCAGAAGTGTAATGGATTTTTTCAGTTTCGACGAACAATATTTATCAATGTCTGTAAAAAGCGTTGTAGACATTCAATAGACGCTTTATCATACGAAATACTTTTCTATACAAATATTTTTKATAGAAATTGTAAGTACATATTACATTGACTAGTCCGGTTACTAATAGAAGTTAATTGGAAAAAAATTGTGGCTTTGCATTTAATTATAAAGTCAAATAAAAATACAATTTAATGAATTTTCTGTATCATAAACTTGGATAACTCGTGAACATTTCAACAAAATATATTTGATTATTCACTGATATGTTACATTATCTAAATCTATCCACTTTGAATGGCATATGGGTAGTAGAGGCTAACTTTCTTTTTTTCCAAACTTATTGACGGCAGTATTTGTTCTGTTGTCCAAATTGAATTTTAAAGTCCATGACATAGATTACGTCAACAAATTCCATTCCGTATTCTTGTAGGTATTAGTCGCATTCTACGAATGGAAAATGGGGAAACGAAGACCTATCATTCTATGCAGCTCAGTGATTTTTAAATTTATAATTCTAAGTTTTTAGTTTTTATTTATTTATTGTTAATAATAAATACTTACTTACTATTTTGTGTACAACTTTTTTATCATCTATTACTATATCAATATTTGCAGTTAATGGTTTTTACTACCTATGCATCTTCAAAGTTACTGTTYTAAAAATATTGGGCTTGCCTCGTATAAAAGTATACATCATTAAATAAATAAATAATATAYTGAAATCCTTTTGATAAAATCGTATCGCTTGTCAGTTAATATATTTTTGTTTTAAGTCTCTAAGTTGTCGATAGTTCCAGGGTAGGGTTTTATTACTTTTGAGTTTCCAAAATTCGGTTGTAATTTATTTGATGACGTCGTATAGGAAAARGAGACATTAAATATATATTTTTTTAAAACTATATTTAACTTAGAATATTAAGATAATGTATGAAACGTATTTGTTACGCACTTATATCAGATAATAAATTAAGTAGTTTGTTTTTATTATGCGATGAGCAAACGTTATTTATTATACCTATTATTTTAATGCCACAATATAAAAAAGTTGTACTATACATTTATATTGACAGTGAGAATAMAATGAAATTGTTTGTTAAACACGATTTTTTTTTTTAATTCTATGCAATAGTAGGTATATGGAAACTTATTTTTTATTATTATTATATGGTGTGTCGTTTGTACATTTTAATATTAATATTACCTATATATATTATATGCCAATAAAATTTAATGGTATGCATTATTATATAAAAAGAGATCACAATGTATATTACGAAAAATATAGCATATAAAGTGATGAATTTCSTAGTTTTTTATATTTTGTTTTGGCTAGAATGTGTCATAATATGTGTAACTAAWCTACAGTTATTCAATCATAGATGAAAATATTGTTATTTTGCCTCAGTGTTTCATTTAAACCRTTCGACTATTATTTTTGCCAAAAATGTTGTAATAATATTCAAGTTTGAATTCATTATTATTTAGTATGAATTCATGCGATTCACGGACAGTCATTTCAAATATTTATCTTTGTTAATGTAACAATGAATATAATTTTTAAAATTTATTTAGGGAGCTTTAGTGGTTTTTTATTTAAATTATATTAAGCTTTTTAAAGTTTAGTATTCTTGTAGATTACCTTTTGAGATATATCATAAAAATAATTGAAGAATATTTGTTTAATGCTATGACGTGAATTTAACACAAATAGAGATCTTTATGTATAAGTAACTGGTATTTTCAGTCAGACATTTTGAATTTTATTTTTAAGGAACTTATAATTAAAATTACCTATTTATACATTTATGTTAATTGGTATTGTAATTAGATGTAACTGATATTAGTCAACATAAATTTTATTTGTTATTCATTTTTTCCCCGATTTTCAATGAGTATTTCTTTATGCCTTTATTAACCACTAATTTTAAATATAATATAAAAGATTACAAAAGACCAAATTTTAATTTTTTTAGTCAAATAGCAACATCAACAACTCMAAAATTAATAACAATAATAGTCCATTAAGTTAAAGGATGAAAAATTATAATATATGAGTATGATAAAATAACAAATTATTTAAAAAAATTGCTTTTATACCTTTAACTATTGGAATATAACTGACAATAACTCAATTTGTAAATGAGTAATTATCGAAGAAAACTTTTAAATGTCCGTCAAATTATTATTATGATATAAAAACAAAGAACCATGAATGCATTTAAATCGGATGTTTATGTGGTTTAATTTAAATTATCGAAAACATCAAAATTATATTTACCATAACAATCACTGGTTTGGTTTTGATTTTTTTTGCACGAGCTGCATATCTTAACGTGCTTATTGTTTCACTAGCATTTGACCGAGCTGGTGATATGCATGCAATCTGTACAGTCAAACATATATATTATGAATTTGAATTATTATTTATATAGAGTATAACATTTGTTAATTTTATCATTGGTAAAATAAATAATAATATTTATATGTGTGATAYGTATTTACGTACATATTAATACAGGTGATTCACCTGGCATGGTCTATCTTATTTTTTCCTTTGATATGAATTTATTCATATTTTGAGTTTGGGAATTTTTTAATATACATGAGGGTAAACAGTTAAGTAGGTAAATATTCCTAAATCATATAACAAGTAGATATGTTTTATCTGCTTTTGAATATATACATAACTAAAGGAAAATACGATGGCTAATCACGCATTTTATTTATGTATAAATTCATATATAATATGTATTATATATAATTAATTAATTTTTTTTTTTTATTTAGCTTTAAATATTGTTGAAGCAAAAAGGAAATCGGTTTAATTGTATGGCATATCGAGTACAAATATTTATGCATGGGGWTTTTATTTTAAATTGTATGTATAGTTATAATTGTTGTTAAAGTTTATAATAATTTACCTACCATTAACGTGACACCTGTACCGGCCAAACTATCAGACAGGAGTTTGGTAAGCTTACTGTCTCGGTACGGTATATGTCCTTTCCGCTTCTTAGGATCACTTAGCGATGCTATGCAGTAGCCTGAGTAAGAAAAAAAGAAAGCTCATTAACACGATCGAAGTTTACTTTTCATTTTTTGTGACCATATATTCCCCCACCCCTAGTGTGGCGGGGGACAACTTTTCCGTTTGACACGTTGTGTTGCACTGATAGGTATATACTCCATACACATGATTGTAAGTAAGGGCGTTATCGATCGAAAAGTAATGTTTTCTATTTTTATTTTTGTGAAATGATGACCCCAAGAAAATATCTTTATTATTTATTCAACGGCTGCCAAAAGGTTGACCTCAACTGCTGGTTAAATAATTTCATCGTGACATATCGATTAAAAAGTTGAGACCCTGATGGTTGTTGAAAAAAATTGTATTTAATTTATTTGTTTGAGAACAACGAGAGAATGGTAGTGAAAATAGATTAAAACCTATTGGCTATTTGTATATATCATTATAACAATATCAAAGAAAAACAAATAASACTTCAATCTATTTTAATTAGGTGGCTTAAAACGATTATCAAATGTACCCATTTTTTTACGTTTTACCATCTTATTTTATTTTACAGTAATCAATATATATATATATATATATATTATGAATACTTTGATATAATAAATACGTCCTAATTAGTACCAAATTAAAGTAGTCATTAACCTACCTAGTAGCCTAATTTATTGCTGATGCAGCTCTTCATGATGAATTGCAATATATTATGCAATTAGTTTTTGGAACCACTACAGAGATAATTTAGATTCCAAATTGGCCTATATATAGTTATGACTAGTTCGTGTATAAATTGTAAGCATCAGTGTATTAATTAACTCATCTCATAATACATTGAGATTGAGCTTCATCGGTGAGGTGCATCA